CAATTGGGCCGCCACGGCATGCTGTTGCCAGCACCTGGTTTTCAAGACCGCGCAGCGCAATGATTGCAAAGGGTCTTATGAAGAGGAAGTGCAAACCCAATGAGGTCCAAATAGCGTTTCTAGTGCCCGGTTGCGGTGTCTCCGTGGTGGTGGCGTTTGCAACAAGATGTGCTCTACTGTGAAAAATGCTCCGACGCCTTTTCTTCAATTGGCGTTTCTTCTGCCTGGTCGTTGTTTCCTCGTATCTCTTTCTCTCTCCTCCAGTGAGTGTGTGTGTTCTGCCGGCTCCCGGCGCAGAGTGGGAAAGAAACGAACCACCTGTGATAGGGCCAAGCCGATATTTGTGGTCAATGGCACGTTCGTGGGATTTTCAAAATTGATGCGCATCGCATGTGCGGCGCGCCTTGGGCCTCAAGGCTCCACGACATTTCGCCGCTCATCACCCCCCCTCCCTATTCGCCATGCCCTGAAAGCAAAGGAAAGAAAGCAACCTCGCAGAACCGTATCCCAAAAATTTAACAAGCCCACCTCTCTTGTGTGGCGTATGGCGAATAGGAATACCACTAAGGGTATTTGAATTGAATTTGCTCTTTGGGAACGATCGCGTAGAATCGTAGGTGAGCAGTGCTGTTTATTTGTTCGTGGTGACTACCGCTTATGGCCTTGACAACCCCATTTCCGACCCCTTTCTAATTGAAATAGTTGATTGCTACCAACACCGATAAAAAAACATTATCACAACATACCCCTACTCTACGGTTGCAATCGTCTCACTGTAGTGCCCCATTTCAAGAAGAAGGGCTTTGATAGGCCTTGTCTCTTCTGCGGCACCGCAAAGAAAGATACCCTGCTTGGCATCGGGAAACGCCGACGCAGCGATCGTGTCAGCATAGTCCACGCTTCCAGTCCACTTTGGTGGCGGGCTCTGCAACACGAATGTACAGCGGAGCCGCTGCGGCCACTTCTTTTCAAGGACTTCCAGTTCCTTTCGTTGGGGAATAGTTGATACCCGATCCGCCAGAAAAATAAGATGAAACGTTCTGTTGTCATCCGGTTTCTCAAGGCCTGCGCGAATAATTTGCATCATAGCTGCAACCCCGTGAGGTGTCGCGATGACAATTTGGCGGGATGACTTCAGGAGAAGTGCGTGCTTCTTCTTTGGAAGGTCTGCCGCTTTCATCTCCACAGCATCACCCGGCTGCAGCGAGCGCAACCATGATGCGCTGTTGTTCGCCTGCTGAGGGCTCAACGCAACTCCCACAACACCCTCTTCGTCTGGAAGCGTAAAAGGCATTCGAACCTCCAATTGTCCGTCTCCATCAACGGCACGCAATACAACGGCCTGCAGGGCCTCCAGCCCCGATAGCTGCAGACTGCTGGGAAGGCTGAACCGAAGCCATACGAAACCATTGTCATCTTCCAGGGCACTCTGCACGGTCACCTGAGACCATTTATTATGCCAAAGAAACGTCACATTGTCGCGCAAAATCCTTGCTGAGCGACCACCCGCAATACGGCCGAACACCACACACTCCAGAAGTGAGTTGCCACCGAGACGGTTACCGCCGTGCACTCCGCCTGTAACCTCACCTGCGCCGAACAATGCAAGAATCGGGCGACGATGACCGAAGGAAGAGGTGCTGTCTTCCATCTGCATCTCTGCCGAGGGTGAGATGAGGCAGCCACCCATCGTGTAGTGAATCGATGGCGTCACAAAGGCAACATAGAAGGGGCCCTGCGGACCCAACACACACGGGTACACATTCTTTTGTGTCTTGGGGCACGCACGCGAGGCTCTCGAGAGCTGCTCGTGCTCCTCCAATGTCTTCTGCACATTCCCCGCCGGGCACTTGATGAGTTTGGCGAGATCTTCCACCGTGTCCACCTTCACAAACAGACCAAGACGCTTCCAGTAGAAACTGTGTGAGTTGACACCGAAGAGCTTCTGCGCCGCCTCATTGAGGACGCAATACGCGAACATGCTGCCGTTCAACCCCGGATACTCGTTGCCTTGATCAATGATCGCTTTGGAGACAACAGAGCGGAGGTCCAGCTCATTCACGAACCTCTCACCCTGCTTGTTGAGCAGGATACCACCTGAGCCACGCAGCGCCTCCGGACCGAGGTACTTTGTGGGGTTCCCCGGGTCCTTCGGGTCAACGAGGCCTGTCGGGTGCAGCTGCACCTTGTCCATATCCACAAGCTTAACGCCCAGCTCGCGGGCAAGCTTCACACCGTCACCAGTGGCCCACGAACCGTTGGTCGTGGGGAAGCCAGAAAGCTGCGGCGCGTACTCGCGAAGAAGAGAATTGGCCGTCTTGTCGTTCGAGAAACCGCCAGTGGCAAGGATCACAGAATCAGCCAATATGTAGGTCTTCTCGCCTTCAGCCAATTGAATCTCCACACCAGTGACCTTCACCTGATGCACACCATCGGGGCGGTTCTTGGTGCGGTGCAGCAGCCTCGTGACAGAGGTTTTCTCCATGATCGTCACACGATCGCTGAGATGGGTGCGAATGTGCTGCTCGAGCGTGCGCATGATGGTGAAACCAATAGGCACTGGTGAGCCGTCCGCCTTATCCGGGGCGCGGTGGGTGCGCTTTTGGCTGTGGCCGCCAAGCTGCGACAGCACCGTCAGCGGCACACCAAGGGAGATGAGCCAGCGAATGGCATCACCACTTTTCACTGAGAGCGTGCGCACCAACCCATGGTCGCACGTGCCGCCCAGACCCGAAAGGTGAGTATCACGCTCAAACGTCTTGCAGTTGTCGTGGATGTCCCGCATGGCCTGGGCGCGTGTGCCCCAGCCATTGATGCCGGATGTGGCCTTGGCGCTGTTACCGCCAAGCTTTTCCGCCTTCTCCATGAGGATTACCTGCGCACCACAGCTCGCTGCTTCAATCGCCGCTGACTGACCGGCGAGACCGCCACCCACAACAATGACACGAGCAGGGAGGGAGCCAGCAATGCGCTCCCGCCGAAGCTCGGGACTCTCCTTGGCAATCTCGTACATGTGCGCGAGACGCTCTCCGCTACGGGTGTAGGCGGAGTAGTCCATCACGCGGTTCCGGGAGTAGCGCCAGCCGTCCAGCATATACCGCACCTTCACTGTGTCACGTTTCAGGAGACTTGCCGTCGCCAACGCATCGGCGTACATGGCACTGTAGCACTTTACTGACACTTGCGCAAGTTCATCATCACCTGGATCCAGCAGCCCTTTCTTCTTCCAGTCAAAGATGGTGCAGCAGACGCCGTGCTTGGGGTGATACATGACATTCTCATAGTCTCCACTCGTGCAGAGGGCCTCGTCGTCCAGGTGCACCACACGTAGGAGCGGTACGGAGTCCCTGGACTCATCGAAAGACTCCTCCACTGCTCCCCCCGCAGACATCCTCGCACGCCTTTCTACCTCTTCCACGGAGGGTGGGCGCGCAATGGCTACAGCCCAGAGCTGCCGCTGGTAATTCAAGCCCACCGCACGGCAGTCGCCACCCCACTCGAACATCAAATTCTCTATACCGGCTGCGACGAGCTTCTCCACCACGTAATCAACAGTGTAGCCTTTGTTAACGCCTCCCAGGTCAAGCTGGGCGTCGGCGTGGCACCGGGCGATTGTGGCCTCGGAGAGGTCGATATCAAAGCTGTGCGGCAGCGAGAAGCGCTCCATCTCCTCCTCAGTTATGCTCACAGGGTCGGTGTTCTCCTTGTCCTCCATCATCTGACGCAGCCGCTTCACCAGCGGCGATGTGGCGGGGTCAAAGCAGGTACCACTCGACTGGTACACACGCATACAGCACTCCATCACACGCAACATGTGCTCTGACATCTTGTGCTTCTCACCAACGGGCAGCCGGTTTACCTTCGACACCTCGCTGTTGGGGTTAAAGTGGTTGAGGTGCTGGTCGACCATCTCAAACGCGTCGCGCAGAATCGGGCCTGCCTTCGTTTCCGATTCCTTCGCCGCGTCAGTGCTCTCCACAACGATGCGGAGGGTGTACGGCACGGTGTGCTCGAGCCCCTTGAGCGTCACCACCGCTCGCTCCTCCAGGGATTGGTGTGGCACGTTGCTCGACAGCATCTCACGCGCCAGACGGTCACGCTCCTTCGCGGCAGACGCGGGGTCAACGACGACCTTTGATGCTGACGAGAGGCCATCGACGCCGCCGCCGCCAGAGGTGAAGCGCTGCTGGTTCACAAGCGGCAGCAGCGAGCTCGACATCGACGAGCCGCACCGCATCGCGATCTTGGTGGCACTGGCACCAGCCGCGACGGGGTTGCTGGTGCTGGCAGTGCGCAGCGCGGCGGTGGCCGTCATGGCAGCCACGCCACGCCGCACACCAGCGACCGCAGCGCTGTTATTAGATGAGGAGCACAGAATGCGCCTCGCCGAGATCATCCGCGCAGTGTACCAAAAATAAACACCGAGAAATCACTAATCCGAGATGAAAAGAGATGCCACTTCCTCCTTTCTTCAGTCCTTCGGCGTTGCTGTGTAAGTGTTGCTCTACCCTAGCCGCGGGCACAGTACGTGTTGCTGTCTGTTTGTATTTTCTTTGCCCCCCCCCTTTTTTTTT